TGTCTCTTGGTTCTCTTTTCCTACCTTTGTGTGTGCTCTTTCTCATTCTCCTTTGCTAAATTCATGTCATGCTCCCTAACTGTGTGCATCCCCCAAGACTCTGTCCTGGGCCCTCTTCTCTTTTTTCCCCTCTATTTTATTTCAATTGTTAATCTCACCGATTCCATGGGTTCTATTATCATTTCTATGTAGATGAATCCCAGATAATATATTCAGCCCTAATTTCTCTCTTGAACCAAAACCCCACATTATCAACTTCCTACTGGGCCTTTCAAGCTGGATGTCCCATACTGGATCTCAAACTCAACATATCTAAAACAAAGCTCAATGTCTTCCCCTTTGAGCCTAAATCAAACACTAACTCATCTGACTGGCATTTAAAGCCCTTCACAATCCATCTTCTTCCTGCCTCTCCAGTTTTCTTACACTTTCCTGCCCTCCATCTACTCTACAATTCAGCCATATTGGTGTACTTTCTAGCACAATACATTCTTACTGGGCCTTTTTACTTGAAGTCTCTTCCTCCTCTCCTTCTTTTCTTAGATTCTTTGTCTTCCTTCAAGACTCAGCTCAAATCTCTCTTCTGCAGGAGGCCTTTCCCAGTCTTCACAGCTACTGCCTTCCCCTCCAAGGTTATCCTCCATAGGAATCTTGTATCTACTTATTTATGTACCTATTGCCCCCCTCATTAGAATGTGAACTCCCTGAGGACAGGAACTTTTTTTTTGGGGGGGGGACCTTTCTTTGTATCCTCAGTGCTTAGCATAGTGTTTGGCACAAAGTAAGTGCTTAATAAACAGTTGATTGATTTTCATTTTAGCTTTGTTATTTTCTGATAGCCTCACATATGTTTTCTTTTGATTTTAGCGATGCAGAAGAATCACAGGAATCTATTTTGGTGGGGTTGTGCTAAGGTCATTTTGCAAACTCTAAATGCTTAAAATATTTGAAGCAGCTTCTTTTAATGATGTCTCTTTCCCAAACATGAATAAATAGAGAGAGATTCTGGGCTGTACTGCTGACAAGATGCACTTCACACAGAGCCCAGGTGCAGAGATAAATACTCATATTAGTGACATCTATTTTTTAATTATGACAACAGCAAAAACCAACTCTTTTCAAGTGAATTAAAAGAGGTCTGGAGCTATCTAAATCTAAATCTTCCTTTGCTGGGTAAGCAGTTACAATTTTTTTTCTCATACAAAGAGCTGGTCAATGCCCATCAACTATGACCCTTTGCTCTTTGTTCTGACTTTAACCTCCAAAGCGAGACCCCCTCCAAAGTGGATTTAGATGGTAGTTCAATGGAAAGAGCAATGAGTCTGAAATCAGAGGACTTGAGTTCAAAAGCTTCCCCCCACCTCCACCTTGCTCTCTACTCCGAATGTTATCTTGGTCATATCACTTAAACCTCATTGAACCTTAGTTTTGTCAGTGCAAAATGAGGTAGTTAGACTAGGGCTTCTGAGGTCCCTTGTAGCTCTTCTAGCCCCCATAGCCCTCTATCTATGGCCCAAGGCCTGAGGGAGGTCTTCAACTTCTTTCTCTCAACAAGGTCAAACTCGTCAGGTCAGCAATCAAAAGCAATGCTTCTGGCACAAATGTCATCTTCTATGCTTTGAGAATTTTCTCCAGAATGGGGAGTACCTGATGCTATCAAAAGCTTTTATGGGCAAAAATCACTCCAAGAGAATCTCCATGCAGATAATGCCTTACACCTAGTAGACACTTAATAAATGTTGATGGAGTTGAATTTTATTGAATATAAAAACATTCCAATGAAGTGGAATTAAAGTCTTCTGGAGAAGAAGCTATCTCAGATAGCTTCATTTATCCATTGTCAAATTGCCAGAGACAACTCCCAACACCCCAAAGTGGGGCAACATGGATTTAATAGCAGAAAATGGATTGTCAAACTGATTCTTTTCCTTGAAAAGCTCTCTGGCCTGGGGTAGTGATCTATCTTGGACTATACTTTTGATATGGACTTTAATGAAGTTTGGATTATTATTTTTAGAATAGACAATTCATACCATCCCAAATGTCTACCTGAGGATAAATAGGCTGAATATTACCTTTCAGGAGTTATCCAAAAAGCACTTGATCAGCCTGGGATTTGAGCTTTATGATTATGATTGGCTGGGGGAAGAGAAAGAGTGATGAGGTCTTTAGGCTAGGTTGAAATCAAATGCTGTCTGGTTCCATCTCATAAGCAGCGTTTCTAACTATTTTGATTAGGGGACATTTCAACCTGCTGAATGAGGTTGTTGTTGTTCATTCTTCATTCTTAACTGCCTTCATGAGAAGGGAAAGCTGTGGCCAACCAATACTCTGGTGTAGAATGAGCTCTTGGGATCCTAGATTTGGGTATGTCCTGTAATAATGCCAACTGGGTATGGCACCATTTCAGTATCACAGAAGGTAAAATATAATGATGATGTCTCATTCTTCTAAAACCCCTCTCTTATGTGTCATAAAACCTATTGTAGTCTCTGCCATAAACAGACAGCTGAAGTCTCACTTGGGGATGTGGGATGTGTTTACTCATGTCTGTATTATTTCCAAATAGGATTATTATGAATGGCCCCCAAATGCATTGTATTTTTTCCTTTTTAAAATAGAGCACCTTGGCTAATGCTTCATTTGCCCAGGCAAGGGAGATACAAAGAATTGTTGGGTAGATAGAGGTGGAGGAAGAACAGTAAACACCGTGTTAGTAGAGGTAACTAAATGAAATAATTTCAAGTTTAACCTTATGGCATGGAAATGATACCTGTAAAGAACTTTGCAAACCTTCAAGCACCCCATAAATTATAGTTATTAATAAACATTTTAATTTGGCTATGCTGATTGACCCTTCACTCTTTACCCTGAGGGTAGTTTCATCTAGTCTCAGGGTTCTTATCTTGGTCTCTCCTTCCTAAGATGCTGGCCACCCAGGTCTGTGGCTGGGACAGGCCCATTATATTTATGCAATCACAGAGAGCATGAAACTGGTGCTTGAGGACAGGGAATAAGCATAGTACAGTAGAAAGGGATGAATTAGAGAGAACCTAGGGATGGTAGTGGGAGAAAGCTACCATTAAAGATGAGAAGAGACTGAATCAAAGGTACATGTAGAGGAGACGGCCTTGGCAAGAAGTTGCTGGCCAGCACAAAGCTGGCCATCAAAGACTGGAGTGCAAAAGGAAATAGGAGAAGGTTCTTGGTTCAAATTCTGACTCTAGCTATATGATCTTGAGTGAGTCACTTGATCTCCTTGGGCCTCAGTTTCCTCTTCTGTAAAATGAGATAGTTCGACTAGACTAAGAGTTCTTAACCCTTTTTTTGTGTGTCATGCATCTCTTTCATAGTCTGATGAAACCTATGGACCCCTTCTCAGAATGATGTTTATAAAAATTTCAGTTAGAGGTCAGTGAAAATAAAGATGTGATTTTTTTCTTCCTCTATGTTCATAAAGCCTCTGAAATCTATCAATACACTCATGTTAAGAACCCCTAAACTAGATGATCTCTAAGGTTCCTTTCAGCTCTCAATCTATGATTCAATAATCCCATGATTATTATGTAACCAAATAGTGACTTCAGACCAACAATGTCAATATTTCAGGCAAAAACAATATTGTCTTAGTTGTTCAAACATTGTACAAGGGTGACCAGACTTATAAAATAGAAAACATACTGACTGTGTCTACATGCATACCAAGGTAGCCTATTATAGTACCTTAATTGACTATAGACAGGGGAGGGGAGAGAAAACATGATAATCCTGCCCAAAATAAGCACTAGTCACCCTCTGCTTGATAGGATTCATTCTACAGGTACAACTTTAGCAGCAGAATAAACAATCTTTATCCATGGTACTTATTTTACTCGAGTTCTGTTCTTACAGAAAGATCCATTCCCACTTTGACATTTAATCATTCACTTAACAGAAAGGACAGTCCCAGACTGATTCCCTATGAACTACTAATCTTAGAGAAAAGCTTACCCCCATTCCAAACCCATTTCTTACACTTGAACAAAGTGGGTCTTCTTTTCATCCCTAACAGATCGATTTGTAATATTAAGATAAAATATTTTTAAAGGAAATTTTTATAGAAATGGCACTCCATTAACAAAAACATTATCAAAAAATTTACTTTTAAGATCACACTGTGGACCAGGGCTCTCTAACTAGAGACTAATAATTGATTTCTAGCTCAAATTTGAAAAGTCTTTACTTCCTCTTCCCTTCAGCATTACTGAAAAGCTTAAATGATAGGTTGCCAAGCATGCAAGCAGAGGACCTTGAAGTGAAGATGCTAAGTTCATGACCATAGTTACTACATATCTAGACAGAATTCTGAATCTGTGGCCTTTAAGACACAGACTGAATGATCCCTGAAGTCACTCAACAATTGCACTGAACTCCAGCTTTTTTTTTTCCACTGAAAAGAGGAAATTCTCAAGGTCCATTTGCTGATAACCTTAAACTTTTTCCTTTACCAGAGTCCTACTCTGATACTTCATGGTGGTATGGTAGTGACTTTGTATTTTGGAAGGCTAATGGCTAGCATTAGACTAACTCTGGAAGATCCTATCAAGGAGATAGGATCCCTACAGGAGGGCTTGGCAAACTATGACCCTCAGGCCAAATCTGGCCTGCCCCCAATCTCAGGCCATAAAAAATCAGGTGACAGGCCAGATATGACCTGAGGGGACCACAGTTTGCCGACCCCTGGCCTGGAACATATGAAGTGCCTGGCTTCATGCCTGGCTTCTGAAGACCTAGTCTAGTTAAGTTTAAAGAGGCTCACCAGCAGAAGATTTGCCACCAGATGATGAATTTTTGGCCCAACAATTCATGAAGACTGTCAAAGGGGTCATAATCTGTGTCACACTGTGTCAGTGTGCACACTGATGAAATTGGACACTTTGAAATAATGAAGAGGTAAATTTTGTGGCTCCTCACATGGATTGCACCTAGAAAATCAATGCAAGAAATTTCTTTGGACTCACCTGCTCCTTGCTGTCTTCCCACAAGAACATCAGCTCCTGCCATGCAGCCCATTCCCAGGATGCAGACCACAATGCCAACAAAGTGCACAGCCTTGTATCGGATTAGCAGGAAGAACCAGGACAGGAGTATCACTACTGGGATGACAAAGCAGTCCAAGAGCTGTTTAGAGAGAAGAACAGGAGCAAGAATAAAATATTGCTATTTTACCAGCAGTTTGGTGCTTTGCTCAGAGTAGATGCTTAACAGGTTTGTACAGTTCAGTGGAATTGGATTTTCATCAATAAACATTCACTGTACATCAACAGACATTCATTTGTCACATGTAAGGGGCTTCCACTGAACTCAGGGCTGAGGAAATAAAAGTGTTAATTAGTAAAAATAATAATCATTTCTATTGCCCTTTAAGATGTACACAATGCTATATATTTATATATATATATATATACACACATGTATGTATATACATACATATTACATACACACACACACACATACATAATCTCCTTTGATCCTCACAACAACCTGTGAGGAAGGTTCTCTTTTTGTTCCCATTCTACAGATGAGTGAACTAAGGCTGAGAGATGTTAAATAATTTGACCAGGGTCATGCAGCTATGGAAATGTCTAAGTCAATATTTAAACTCAGGTCTTCCTGACTCCAAATCTAGCTCTCTGTACCACCTAGGAGCTTATAGGACTCTTGGCTTCATTTGATGCTTCCTTTCATTTAACTTTTGTTTCAACTCTTACCCAGCCCTCAGTCATTGAATGGGTGTGGCCTCAGGCAAACCAAGACCTGGGAAAGACCTTAACTTGGAAGGCCAAGGTCACCCACTGCATCCTGGGCCATAAGTAGTCATCTTTGCCTTTGTCTTGCCACTGGACTTCGATGACTCTGGAGGAAAAAGTGAGGCTGATGACTTTGCACAGTTCTGCCCCACTCACACCTAATTTATGGGCAAGTCAAGACATCACCCTTGTGATGTCATTGGCCCTCTGAGAAAATGAAGGATGAACAACAATAACAATAATTTATATTTCTGTAGTCCTTGTGTATATTGTCATTCTAATAGCTCATTTCACTCTGCATCAGTTCATAAAAAGTCTTCCCATTTTCTCCAATTTCCTCCCCTATGTTATTTCTTATGGGACAATAACATCCCATTATATTCATATGCCACAATGTGTCAGTCATTCCCCATTTGGGTACTCACTTAATTTCTGATCCTTTGTTACCAAAAAGCATGCTGCTCTGAATTTTTGACATGTATAGACTTTTCTTTCTGTATTTGATCTCCCTGGGGCCAACAGTAGGATCTCTGGGTCAAAGTTTAATAACTTTTCTCATATAATTTCTCAGTTCAATTTCATAGTTTAATCACTTTTCTGATGTAATATTTTCCCCCAGAATATATGGAGCAATTTATAGCACCACCAACAGTGTATTAGTCTGTCTGCTTTCCTGCAGCCTTGAGAAATTTTCATAAATAACCAAGTATGCCTCAGATGTGCCCCCAACATGCCATTAGAAGCTGAATATTATTTTCAGCCAAAGCAGCCCTGAAAATGCACCAACTTTCTGGCACTGCAAAGACCAGACTCCAGGATCCCCAATTTCCAATGTTTCCTCTACTACCAGTGCTTTTAAGACTTATGCAGGTCATTGAACTATCCACTGTCTCAGTTTTCCCTCTTGTAAAAGAGGAAGAAAAACTAGAATACTAACTCACTCCACAGGGTGCTGTGAGGTATTGTAGGTGATAAAGCACTCTGACATGACATAGGGCTATATGAATGCTAAGCAGGGCTATGATGATTGATTGACAAGCCAGAACTGTGGGGATATTAAGTGTAGGGAGGGCCCAAGAGTAGGGGCAGTATTATGGAGTGGGAGCTACCATGCTTGATAAAGAGAGGTTGTAGCACAGTTAATTAACAAGCCGAGTTAATGATCCCACAAGATGAGGTAATACACTGCCCTTATGACAGTCTAGATGAACTGGATGCACTCCCATTTAATAGGTAAAATGATGCTTGGTAGGGAATCATTCATAGCAGCATAAAACGGCTGGTGAGTTGTTTTTTAAATACCACATGATGGTGTTTCATAGTGGAAATGTTCAGATCCATGAGCCACTATTGGCATTTTATTATCTTGTTATTCTTTAAAGGAGATAGTAGGCAATGGAGCTGAAAGTCTGCATCCCTGCTGTATTGTACAGGGATGGACCAAAGATAACCTTTTTGGTAACCATCATCACTATCAACCAGATCCGTTCATTCATTCAATAGCCGTTTGTGTGTGGTACATTGGATGATCTTCCTTCTGAAATATGCAAGGCACCCTCAAATTATACAGGGCCTTAGAGGAAAAAGGATAAAGAAATAAAGAAAAAAGAAAAAAAGAAATAAAGAAATAAACAACTTTAACCCTGCACTACTCAGAGATCATTTAGTCAGATCTCTTTTTAGAGATAATGAAACAGAGACCCAGAGGAGTAAAGAGACCTGTCTGAAGTCACACAGAGGTTGGTTGGTGGCATATAGCCAACTTTCTTTATTCCTGGTTTACTCTATTAGATTGTAAGCTCTTCGAGGGCAGGGACTGTCATTTATCTCTTTTTGTATCCTCAGCTCTTAGCACAGTGCCTGACACTTAATAAAGGTTTACCCAGTGATTGATCCAAATTAGGTGCTCTGAACTCCCTATTTGGAGCAAGCCTCATCTTTTTCATTAACATTTTTCATAATCATCTTCTATTGAACTAAAACCCCACTCTCTTGGACTTGCTATATAATTCAATAGGACAGTTTAATGACTGTTATTAATGACACACTCTTGAGGGACACACTTTTTTATCTCTGGCTACTGGAAACATAAATATGAGTAACTTCTTACATGTAATGTTATGGAAGAAACACACCTCACTCTGTTTAAACTTGGTCAGAGACACTTTTTTTTTTGGTTAGGCAATGGGGTTAAGTGACTTGCCCAGGGTCACACAGCTAGTGAGTGTTATGTGTCTGAGGCTGGATTTGAACTCAGGTCCTCCTGAATTCAGCGCCGGTGCTCTATGCACTGCACCACCTACCTGCCCCAGAGACACTTTTATTGTTATTACAAATGACTGCAGGGAGAACTGTTGCCTGAAATGGTTTTCCCCCTACCAGTCAAAGAACTCTGATAACCAGCAATTATACCTGATATTTATAGCATAAAATTAAGAGGTAAACTCAAATACTGTTAATAAGAGCTAACATTTATATAGCACTTACTATGCACCAGGAACTGTGCTAAAAACTTTACAATGTATTATCTCATCTGGTCCTCACAGCAACCCTGGGAGCTAGGTGCTATTATTAGTCCCATTTTACAGATGAGGAAACTGAGGCAAACAAATGGCCAAGGGTCACATAGCTAGGAAGTGGCTGATGCTGGATTTAAACTCAGTTCTTCTTGACTCCAGGCCCACTGTTCTATCCCAAAGAGACCAGGATTGAGTTTGCAGTTCTTGGATAAATCTACATTCCAATAATTTTTATCACAGTAATGATAAATGCTGGTGATGAGAAGAACATATTATAGAAAGCTTAATCAGTGTTTTGAATTCCCAAGGAGCTCAGCACATGCTTCTTCAAATTACATCCATATAATAGTAACCTTTAGCATCAATTATTTAATTTGGGTCTTTAGGCTTCCACAATATAAACCACATATGAATTTGCTCAATGCTCATTCATTTTGTGTGTATTCTTGTGATGCCTTTGTAAATATAGTTTTAGATGGTAAACTCATAGTGGGTAAGGAGTTATCTTGTATGATCAGTACCCAATGACCATGGAAAATGAGGCAGTTAAGTTATTTTTATAACATCTCTGTATCATATATTTTTGTGGCATCATTACTTTTAACAATTACTTTTAACCCCTTGCAGAAATACAATAAGCCTAACTGGGTTCAAGTAAGCATTGGGATTCTATCTAATAATGTTCCATGGCCAAGGAAAATGGGTACAAAATAACAGATGGTAAAAACTGATTTTATGTTTTAAGCCCTTCATCCTCCTGGGTACAGAGAGAGCTATACAGGCTTATCCTGAATGTCTTAACCATGCTACTTTGTCACTTAGCATACATGGGAATTGCATAACAATTTGTAACTATTTCAGCAAAAATATTGAATTGTATGTGGTTTCCTTGGTTCAGGTTGGTACAGGATCTCAGCCTTTCTTAGGCTTGCAAGTGCCAATACTGTGCTGACTTCGCAACACTGACTCCAAGAATCATGGGTTCGAGAATGCTCAGAGGTCACTCAGTTTAACTACTCCTTGAAGCAAGATTCTATAAACATTCTAGGCAAGGGGTCATCCTGCTTCTCTTTATAAACCTTCAATAACAGGGAACTCATTCCCTCTTTAGGCTAAGGCCAACCATTCTACCTTGAAGAAACTTTTTACTAAGAAATTTATTTCCAGTTTAAATCAGAATCTGCCTTTGCAATTTCCACACATTGTTCCTAGTTCTACCCTTTGAGCATGGATCACATCCAATCAACCTTTCACATGACAGCCCTTTAAATCAAGTAATATGTCTAGAAAGAAACGAGGTGAGTCTGGCATGACTTATTTTAGTCATGAGGATCAAATGAGTTAATAAACGTAAAGTGCTTTGCAAACCTTAAATTGCTACATTACTATTATTGGTGTTTTTCCTCTATTGGCATGTATCCAGGGCATAATAGAGAAGCTCCCCCAACTTGTCAGTCTGGATACCACTGCTTACTTTGGTGTTGTTATTCAGTTGTTTCAGTCATGTCTGACTCTTCATGATCCCATCTGGCGTTTTCTTGGCAGAGACACTAGGATGTTTGGCCATTTACTTCTCCACCTCATTTTTCAAATAAGGAAACTGAGGCAAACAGAGTTAAGTGACTTGCCCAGGGTCACACAGTCAGTAATTGTCTGAAGCCAGATTTGAACTCAGGAAGATGAGTCTTCCTGACTCCAGGTCTGGAATTATCCACTACACCACCTAACTGCTGGAATCTAATGATAAAACCAGAAAACATCATAGATAGATATCATGGAATTCTAGACAAGAAACTGAAGACCACAGGGATGTGGGGTGTTTTTACCACTCTGTCAAGTGAAGGCAGGGGTT